CCTAAAGATCTTCAAATATTTATTCAGTTTTAGCAACAGTGAAATAATAATGAGTTCCTCTCCTGCATAGATAAAAAAAAATAAACCTTATTATGAAACTCTCCATTCAAAAGAAATATAATATTGACATTATTCACAGTTTCTAAGGAAGTTCAAGAGTTTATTTATTTGAATTATTGTTGAATAGGCTTGTTTTATTGTTTCAAATCATACAATAATATTCTGGAAAACAGCATTTATCTGAATCTGTGAAATATGACAACAAAAAGAAGAAGAAGAATCTGCTGCTTATGATTTCAGGACTGTTTGTTGTTTGTTGTTTTGGATGTACGTCTATAAATAATACACTATAACAAAACAACAGTAACGTTTATAAATAAAAACGTGACGCAACGAATAACACTTAATGACAGCCATGATGAGCGWTTTATCAAAATGAAGTGTGTTGATGTGAAGCGACTCATCGTGGACACAACGTCTTTAATGTTGTTTGTTTTCTGGCTGCAGCCTGCTGCAGAGAAAGATGTCGGTGAAACGTGGAAGAAGAAGAACGGGCTGATCCGCAGAGAGCGGCCGGCTGGCAGGGAGTCGCCTCAGCAGGTAAATAATGGTCTACAAACACAGGATGTCGTTAATATTGTATTCACATAATTGACGACTCTGTGAAGTGAAGACATTCTGCATGAACAGAAGCATGTTTGCAGCAAAACTCAGCTGCAGCTGGTTAATGTGGAACGCACACAGATTTTTACTGTTACCTGCTCTCAAATGGTTTGGTTGTGTTCTACATTAAATCTGAACATTCCAGCTTGCCTTTAGAAAAAGTTATTAAAAAAACACAAATAAACAGCAATAGATAGACATCTAATATATTCAGGTTTACACCCAAATGAGATATACTAATTTCTTCCTGTCTGTGTGGACTTAGAGCTGTTTGAATCATAAATTACTGTATGCAAATGTAATGTAGACATAATCTTTAATATACTGTATATACACAGCAACATTTTGTCCAGATTTTAGCATCTAGTCACTCATGTAGAGCTTCATTAAATGCCAGAATTGATTCAAGAATTCAAGGTTTCAGAAAAAAATAAAAAATCTAAATGATCAATTTTCAGCTAACAATACTTGAAAAAAAAAACACATTTTTAGACATAAAATATCGTTTCCTGTCAGTCAAATTGTGTATTTTATGTTGTCATCTTAATTTAAATAGTGTATTATGTAATATGTGCATTTATAATAGGCTGCAGGTGACAAAATGCCTAAAGATTCAATTTAAAGTTATTTTTCGGTTGTTTCGAAACAATCCTTGTTCATCTCTGGAACTCGGGAAACTTTTARTGTCTGAATGTTTCATTAACCCAGTAAAAAGAAACATTCCTCTGAAAACAGTCAAGTAGTTGACTAAATGTTATTTAAAGTAGCCTAAGTCCAAAGAAGTCTAAAAAAACATTTGGATCAAAACTACTTAAAAGATGACAAAGTCTTTCTCAYTGAAAACAAAAAACAAAATAAATGGTTCAAGACTTTTGCACAGCACTGTACTGTGTGTTTCTAAAACTCAGAGCACTGAAGAAAAACCCCCACAGATTTGAGTGGAAGGGAGTATTCACTTTAAATATGAGGATATTTCTGATTTTGTGAGTTATACATTTTACACCCGATGATAAAGTATCAACCTRCAGAAACATTTTATCTTTCTGTTTTATAAACTATTCATAGAAACATGATCTGACTTACAGTTCAATAATTAATCCACGGCYGCCACTTTTGTTATCTGGTTTTTGTGAAGCCAAAGTGGCGCTCTGTGCCTCTGCTGCTGGGCATCTTTTTTCACAGGCTGATAAAGGTACAAAAGGCAGAACTGGCAGGAGTTCATGTACTGGGTTTCAGAAACACGACACCGTCGATGCACTCTGCACCCTTTTTTAGCTGCTTGTTACCAGCCTCCTGTTTCYAGCACTCGGTGCAGGAAACACCTCATCCAGTCCACATGCATGTAGGGACGTACRTCCAAACGCGTACGACCGGAAGTGTGAACGTCTGTGAGCGATTGCAGCTCAGTGTTGGTAAAAGTTTGTCTAAGTGGACGGAAACCTGACCGGTGTGATCCCGTCTCCCWCGCAGCACCTCCGAGACCCGACCAATGGGGTGCCAGAGACCTCGCTGCAGCAGCATGGGCCCAAAGTGTACGGTGTTGTGCAGCGGACGGGCTCAGACCGGCAGCAGCAGCTGATGGCGCGAGAGTGGACGACCAGTCACCTTCAGGACGAGATGAGGTACATCAGGGAGGTGAGTGAAAACGAAACAAACGCTCATTGTTTCGACGTCACGTCATAACGTCAGGGAAGTTGATGTTTCTGTGGTGATGACATCTGTGTGCTCTCGGTTAAACAGGTGAGAGACTCCCTGGAGAAAGTGAGGGAACGGATGTATGGGCAGTTTGGAGGAATGCAGCAATCGATGGAGAAGCTCTCACGGGAAATCAGGGTAATTAATTATGTAAAAACACAACTCCCTCTTCAGGCTCCCACCTTTTGAGCTGAGCGTGAATGTAAGAATGCACGTGTTTCTGCAGGAGGCCAACTCCCACAGGATGAGTTTAGAGTCAGAGGTGAAGACCAGGACGGCCGCCATGGAGAGCTTYGACCAAATGAACAGCTCTCTTATATCTGCAAACATCAGCCTGCAGGTAACAAATCAGCGCAGAGGAACACGTCGCCGCTGCCTGCTGCTGTGAGGATGAGCTTAGCTGGTGGATGTCGTTCACTTGTCTGTTTTGCAGAAATCCCTCTTGGAGAACTGCCAGAGCAGAGTGGACGCCAGAGACGAGGTGAAGAGTTTGAGGAGCAACTTTGAGAAAACGCAGGAGAAGCTCAGAGACAGGGAGCGTGAGCTCGCTGCAGCGCAGGCTGAAAACCAAACCCTGAAACTTCAGGTAATCTGTCCACACAAGCTCTTTACTGCACGCTCAGGGTTCCTGATTCACACCAACATCTGTGCCGAGATCCAGGAACATCTGCTCAGACTGGCAGCGGTCAAGCAGCTGGAGCCGAGGAGGAGAGGATGTGCTGCAAACCTGATCATTAAATTCATTTCATTCCTTGAAGGAAAACATGCCAGATTTTAAAAATAACACCAGCTTATGTTGAGAAGTGACAGAATTGTAAAGGGTTTGGTCAATCTCAGTAGAATCAGTCGAAGACATACATCTAATGATTATTTCCTCAAATTTCATTATAATCCATGCAGTGGTTCACAAGATATTTTGCTAACAGACAAAGAGTTGACTATGAATGTTCTAGGGTAAAAAAATAACCACAGTTTTTGCACAATCTGTTATCACTCAAAAAATTTGTTGTTGATCACTCTCACCGTCGACATCTTCAAATATTAATGTAATATCAGTAAAATTAACCGAGTTGTAGACATCTTTATGTTTTCTAAAGTCAGTTGACTATGGCGGCCATTTTTAATCTAGTTGACTTCAAAAGTTAATCAGTTGTAGATATGTGTCCAGTAATTAATTTCTGCAAGTTTCATTAAAATCTATTGAGTGGTTGATGAGATATTTTGCTAACAGACATACATAAGTACACACAAACAGGAGATAAATCGTTATTGTCCACCTTTGCCTTTTTGAGATGAATAGTCCCAAAAGCTCTGAGACCAGTTTGCTTTAAAATAGCAGGTTTGTTAATGTCTGGCCTCAGCACAACAACATCCAGCATCAGCTACATCTGCACCAGCTACCCCCCCCCACACACACACACACCTGAGTCAGTGCATCTCTGAGTCTGCTGAGGATCAGCTGAATGTGCTGCGCTGTGGATTTGTCCAGGTGGAGTCGACGCGGGAGGCCAACACCCGGGCGATGCAGGAGCTGGCACAAAAACTCCAGCTGGAGCACGAAGAGGAGCTGCTTAAACAACAACAAAAACACAGAGAGGAGATCGAAAACCTACAGGTCTGCATTCTCTGAATCCCTTTCACATCACATTTACTGGTTTTACAGTTTTTTACTGAGAACGGAAAGGAAAAAAAAAACTTTACATCGAGACTTCAGGGATTACACCAGATTCAAATGCTTTGATTTTTATCACATTTGAAAAAACTGCAACAAAAACAAGTCGAAATGTTTTAACAGAATATTAGTTCCTAGATGAAACTAAAAGGTATTTCCTCTTACAGGCCCAGCTCGATGAGTACATCAGGCGCCTGGAAGAGGCGGAGAGGACYATCAGGATTTCAGAAGCTAAGATTGCAGAAAGAGACCAGCGGATCTTAGAWGTGGAGCGTCTCCTGGACTGTATGGGAAAGGTAACAACTGGTTTTCTGTGTATGTTGTTGTGGACGGACGGGTTTCTCACATTCCTGTTGCATAAGAGCATTAACATTCACGACCAAAGTTAAACAGGAAGTAGAGGAATTAAAACATCAGAGCATCAAATACGGTGAAAAAATGCGGGGATCCGCTTTACATTTAACCATTTTTTTTGTCACAGGAGAAGCTTCAGCTCCAGAAGAAGCTCCAGGAAAGTGAACAGCGACTCGGTCTGCTGAAGCTCTCAGACACGACTGATGCAGCTGCAGATAAAAGGTCTGAATTAAAGTGTTTTCACTTCATTAAGGACTTCAAATCAGTGGATGAAACTGTGTGGTCAAGATGCTGTTAAATATGCCAGTTTTTAAAATTTAAAAAATGCCTTGTTGGTTGTTATAAAGGGTGAGTCAAAAGTCTCAGGACACCCTTTTATTTCAGAAAGAAAAGGGAAAAGAACACATTTGAATACCCCAGCATGTAATGGGTGATGGGGGGCTTATCGAAGGCCGTTTCAAGAATATGGCTGCCATCTTAAAAGCTGCTGTCTTGGATGAAGCCTCCTTACTCATTATTTGCTGGGGGATTCAGAGATTGCCCCCGTCCTTCTGAAATAAAAGGGTGTCCTGTGACTTTTGACTCACATTGTGTTTCAGGTTTTGTGTAAAAATCAGTYAGATTGGTGAAAATCTTTAATCTGAACTTTGAGCTCTCTCGTGTTTCAGATCCAAGCTGAAGAGGGAGACGGAAGATCTCAAAGAGAGAATCAAACATCTGAACGACATGGTTTTCTGCCAGCAGAGGAAAGTCAAAGGAATGATTGAGGAAGTGAGGACATTTTTTTCTTCTTTCTTTGTCAGCCGTGGGCATTCAGCCCCTATGTTCTAAAAATAGAAGAARGAATGACAAACATGAAAGCTGTGGGGATGAGAAATATAAGATGTATCARATACCAAATGTAGGCAAAGAGATGACGCACACATTATTATCTGAATATGGAGAGTTAAAAAGGCAATAACTAATTAAAATGTCTTTTCTCTGTTTAGTTGCCTGAAATTGGTACAAAATATACACAATGTTAGTGTTTTAGGAAATTTAAGACTCCTAAAAGGAAACCAAAGTTCTCTGATTCTGTGTTCATGATGTTTTCTGATTTTGCGCAGGTTGAATCTCTGCGCGCTCAAGTCGCCCAAAAGGACATGTTCATCTCGGAGCTTTTAGACAGAATTGCGATAGTGGAGTGCGAGGTAAGAGCGGGTTTGTTTGCTGCGTGTTTTATGTTTTTTTAATTACGATGTGGTGATGTGATCTGCTGCATGGCTACAGATGATTTGGTGACCTGCAGGATATCCTGACCTTTCATCAGTGTCTGCGGGGTTTCCCTTGCGTCGCTGTCAAATGGCTTTTTTCATGCAAAGTGACTGCAGTCCTTTGCATGTAGCTGAGCTGACAGATGTGTTTCCTGTTTCCCTTTTTCCTAGAATAATGAGTTAGAAGACAAAGTGAAGTATTTTATGTCCACACAGAACAGGCCGCGRGTTGTGGACACGAGGGAGGTCGGCGTAGGCTGCGACCTGCTGCCCAGGTAGGCGTCCACACGTGTCGAAGCGTCCAGCTGTGTTTGGTGCTTCGTTAGGAGCTGGTTTCTAACTCTGGTGTCTGACTGCAGCCGTGGAGCTCACGTTGAACCTGTTCACCTTCATTCCACGCACCTCCCGCCACCCTCTGACCCGCCTCTGTCACCGCCTCAGCCTTCATCACCTATCACTTCCTCCTCACCCACACAGTGGTCTTCATCAGACGCCATTCTGTCTCCAACACTACCCCCACCCCCATCATTCCCCTCATATCACCCATCGCTTGACCCACTAACACCGCCCGTCCAGCCTCCTCTGTCCCCGCCTCAGCCTCCATCACCAGTCACGCCTTCATCGCCCACACAGTGGTCTTCATCCGACGACACCTATTCTCCAGCACCACCCCCATCTCACCGCAGCCCTTATCCATCCTTCAGTCTAACACAACCACGGACGCTCAGACCCACTAACCCTCCACCCAGCAGGTTGGAGTCCAGCTTGCTGAAGTTCACTCCTGTTCAGTACAGCCGCTTGCGTCAGAACGGTTTGTCCTCTTACAGCCGGTCTGAGGACCAGCCGGTCCGGTCCGGAACGGACGAGGTGGACGCAGGAAGACRGTCCGCTCAACAGGAGCCCACTTCRACCACTTCCTCCTCCTCTTCTCAGTCAAAACCAGGACGACGACAGGTTTATACGCCTTTCATGAAACTCATGGAGATGACTGCCAAGATCAACATAGAGTGAAATAAAAGTTTCACAACACGAGCCGAAAATAACACTGGAACTGAGTTGAATCAACTCGTTTATTTCATTTAAATAAACGTGTTTTTGTTTTATTTCACATGAAATATTCTGATTTTATTTTTGGATTTATTTTGACTTCAGTAAAAACAAAAAAATAGAGCTGATGGTGAAAGTTTGAAATCAGACAAGTTTGAAAGAAGGAGGTTAGCAGATGCCTAAATTTGACCAAACATGTTTCTAAAGTTTAGCAGAACCTTTGAATTTAATTTATTCTAACTGGACCCMAAACACTGTTTGTGCAGCTCTAAAAGTCAGGAAACCAATAAAAACTGCTTCAACAGTTACCCTGATTTATAGTTAATTTAAAAACAGTATGAACTGTGATCCAAACTGAGCTGTAAAAGTGCTGGTTTCTGGACTTTAGAACAGAACAAGATTTACTCCAWACCCAGTCTTAATGCTACACTTATACTCAGCACAAAAAATAAGGAAATTTGTGTTTGGTAGATTATTTCTTTGTTGTAAAAATGCTTCTTGGCAATGAATCTTATAGTGGGCACCTGGAGGTACCAGAATCTCAAAACAAGTAACAGCAAAATAAGCTGTTTGRCAGAGAAKATTTTACAAATTTTCCATGTACACAACCCACATACTCAGCTCTATTTCATCCCACAAATGCATGTTCCTTACAAATGTGGCACCATTTAAAGCAAAATTAACAGGCTTTCTTTCCACTGGTAAAAGATATATTGTCAAGAAGCATTGTTACAACAAATAAATAATCTACCAAACAAACATTTCTTTACTTTTTGTGCCAACAAATTGTAGCTGCAGTTAGCTTAGCTTAACAGTATATTTTCTAAAACCAGTCATTTTTAAAAACTGATTAAATAATCAATTTAAATGACTTCAAATGCCTAATTTCATTAATTAATCTTTATTTACTTTTAGAATGATTACCATGTTGAGCTGAAAACCTTCACAGGTTGTGCATTTTGTATTTTTATTGTCTTTATTTGTCATGAATGATTTTAATCACCTTGTGTGACCCAAAAATCACTTTTTAAACAGTGGGACTTTAGTACTTATAGATAATTGCTTTGCCACCCAGCTTTGGTGATAATAAAACACACTGTTCTCAGAAGGATGTATAAATTTGAAGTGTTTTTAAATTTCTTTTTTATTTTCTATCAGGCCTTGTAGCTTTACGTTTGAAGGAGATGCTATAAACATTAAATCTTACCTAAAGAGTGGTAAGAACATGTGTGTATTTTCATTGTTTTGTATTTTCTCTGTACAAAAACTAAATGGATATATATTTTGATATTTTGACATGATGTAAATAATATTTATTAACATGCTTTGTGCCTTTGTGAACACTGATGCAGGTGGTGGTAATAAATGTTTGAATAGCCATGAAAGTGGTTGGTTTTTGTAAATAAAGCTGTTTGAATGCTGATGATGACAATTGTTTACTGTTTCCTATAATTATAGCTGATAAAAAAGTGATTTCCATGTAATTCGTGGAAATTACATGGATAAAAATGTGAAAAAACATGGATTAAAATATGGCCTGATTTTGACCATATTTTAATTCCTTATATTTAATTTACTTTAAAGTTAGCATCATACAAAAAGATAAGGCCAGTGAAAACACATTATAAAGATAGTGATATAAATGATATGTTTGTTTAGAATTTCTCTTGAGTTTGGGCGCAATACACAATCAAACTTTTTAACTGTAAAATACAAGCTCAATTATGTTTTACCTGTCTAGGTAAACATCATGTTTTGTTGTGAAAATTTAAAAAAAGGGACTAAATGTAACACTTGAATCCATGTATATTATTGTTTAATGTAAAAATATAAGCCTAATTCCAACTTTTCATCAGGCTCCAAAAGTCTGATGTAAACAGACTTTGAACTCTGACCTGAAGAAGAAGGGAAACAGCTGTAGCTTCTTGGTCAGAGTGTGGGCTATAAACGGTTCAGATCACTGGATGGAAAACATCCGGACAGGAAATGCAGCTGTGGAAAATCTGAGACTGTGATGCTTGAAGGGTTCAAGCTGATTGCACCGCTCACACAACAAAGAAAGAATTGTGCAAGAAACTCCTGAAACCAGTCTAAAGAGAATGACGATAACAAAAATGTGAAAGGACAAAGTATATAAATAAAACTGTTCTTAAACACTGGTTGGGTCATGATGCATATTTAATCTCAGCAGTTATAATAAACAATCATCTGTGCATCAAAACTTTGAATAATTTCCCCAAATTATCACCCAAACAAGGTTTGGTACTTAAAAATAAATAAATAAAACTGTCTGGATCTCTATTTGATAGAAAAAACAAATCACAAAAGAATAAATCCTGAAAATATGTTTTTTAAAATAGATAATAATATGTAAGTTTTTCCTCATTTAAAAAGTTTCATTTTTATCTGTGTCGACGCAAACTCAAAGTTAGCCAACAGGGGGCAGCAAATCATTTCTATTTTTGTGTTGGCGACAAGCCGCAGTACTGCGTACTGTCCGCTGGGGGCGATAGAGCGCCATGTTTAATATTTGACTTCCTCACACGAAGAAGAAGTTTCCTACTTTAAACATGTCCTGTGTAGACCAGACAGAAACGGACCCCCTTATTACGTCTTTAATAATATGAAGTGTCTAACAGTGTTTTATTGAGCCGGACAAGTTTTAACGTTGAATTTTAAACTCGTTCTGTCTGTGAATGAATGGCCAAAGCGGTCCGTGGCTGACAGAGAGAGATGTCCTCGTCGTGGACAGATCGGCAGGGACAGGTTGGAGACCTGAGACACCAGAGCAAAGAGGAGCTGCAGGAGCTGCTGCTCCGACAAGAAAAGATTCTCTCCAACAAGTGAGTTCACGTAAACATCARGTTATGTCAAATTTCACTGCAGGACTAATGAACTCCTAATGAAGTCCATATTTGATCTTTTCAACTCAGTAAAATTATGTGTTGAGCTTTTATGAAAGTGTTTTTTCTGTTTCATTCAACTTTTATTATCTTCAGCTATTGTAACATTGGTATATGACAAAAGACATAACAGGGATGTGGATACAATTTGAAGCATCTTGTGTCTAAAATAACAATAAAAACATGATAAAAGCCAATGTAAAAGTAGCAGAAAAGGTATGAAATAATCAAGTCAACTTGATGTGTCTTGGAAAGCCAGGAAATGAATACAGTTTATAAAACGTGGACATTTGTTTCATAAAAGACCTTAACCTAATTTGGAACAAAGGCAGAAAAAATAATGGTCTTCATGTAAGCTCACCACGGTATTTAAGGGGTCACTAGAAAAACGTGGATGTTTTGAAGTGACTCTTGAAAAYGCATCGACAGAAATGAAAAGCTCAAAGGAGTCTGCAGCTAAGAGCATCACATCAGCACGGTTTGTTGAATCGATGGAATGATGGTTTTAGTTGTAAGAAGGCAGTAATGTGTTTGTGACCCTTACAGGCGACTGCTGCAGACACTTCCTGACAAAGGGAACAAGATAAAAGACTTTGTGGACAAAGTGCGTCTTGCCATTGAACAGAAGAGTGAAGAGGAGCGGAGGCGGAGCTTGGTGTCCGCTGCCAGAAACGAATTACAATCCAAATATCAGCAAGCTTTCCAGCAGCGAGCCGTCTCCGCCACATCGGCAGATTCACACCAAAACGATGCTGCGGGCGATGCTCTGCAGGACGGGGAGACCTCACCTGGACACGTGCAGAAAGACACCATTCTGGAGGCGCAGCAGGACGGGCGTGTCTCCAACACCGCTCAGGTTGAGRCCATGGAGACTGTTGCAGCCGAGGCTCCTCTGAGCTCTGATGAGACAAACGATGGTGAACTTGTCGAAGCCATGGACAGAGTCACGTTATCTGAACCTGCTGTTGGTGAATCCAAAGATCAAATAAAGWGCAAAGCTAAAGATAATTACTTTCTCCAAAAGCAGCAACCAACAAAGCCTCACTATGTAACAGTTCTGGAAAAAACGGAAACATCCACGGTTCCCAGGAAGCAAAAGTTCAAACCCAATCAGTGAGTGCACTTTGTTGACTTTATTACCTTTAAACGAGTTACGGGTAAATAACAGATTCTTTATTGTGTTTTCAGGCTGCTCCACAGGACCGATGCCTCTCCACCGGGATCTGTATCACCTGGTCAGTCCTCTGGAACTGCATCACCCATTTCTGCTCAGGCCAGGAGGGAGCAGGACAGGAAACACCTGGATGACATCACTGCCGCCAGACTTCCTCCTCTCCACCACAGTCCGGCACAGCTCCTGTCTCTGGAGGAGTCGGCGGGCCTCGTGAGAGAACAGGCTAAGAAACAGCAGGTCAGTGCAGCCAGACGTGTCCCCTGCTCCCTCCGTGCTCCAACATGACCCCAGGATTCTTTCTTATTTCGTTTTCAGGAAATGTGAAGTAGGTGAACCTCAACTGCAAAGAAAGTCTGAACCTCTTTCTTTATTCAGACTCAATAAATTCACAGAAGTGAAAACTGATTTAAAGTGGATTTTTAAGGCATATTTTGAGTCATTATGTCAGTTTCAGCCACAGTGCCTTTATGTTAACAACAGAAAAAATGAAAGACCCTTTTACCTGCCGACTTTCAGGCCAGAGTTTTAACAAACATTATTTAAAGTAAAAAAACAATGAAAGTTACAGCTTTATTAGTCAAACCTTGTAAACAAAAACATGTGCAATCCTGCATAATATTGCTGTTAGGGCCCTAAGTATGTGTTATAAATGGCTCTCAGCTACTGTCAGATTTTATCCAGGGTGTCAGCGCATCCCTAAAAGTCTTAAATTCATTAAAAAAAAATCTCTTAAATACGTTACTCAAAGGTCTTAAACTTTTTTAAATATGTCCTCTCGATTCAAATCACTGATATTACATAAAATTTAAATAGAGAAAAGTTGTTAAAAACCCTCACTTCCTTCTGAATATCACTGTGATAGTGCAGGTTAAAGTGCATATTTATTTAATTTTTATTTTTTTGTATTAAGACAAAACTGGAGATTAAGACACCATTAAGCTTCATGACATGAATGTATTTATTAAATGTCTTTGTTTTGGATTTTTTTCCAAGCAAACAACAGCTAACTGAACCAGAGAGCACAGAACTTTTCATATTCAACGTGTTTCAATGAGCGACGCGTGCAGTGCTTGGTTGTAATAGAGCTGAATCCCCCATCCGTCACCTATATCTATAATTTTTTTTAAGTCTCGTTCAAGGTGGCATTAAAAAAGGTCATAAAAAGTCTTAAATTTRGTGATTGCTAAAAGGTTGATTGTGAGATTCTGGAAAAAGGACTCTGTGCCCACATTTGATCTGTGGCTGGGAGAACTAGCAAACACGCTGCGCCTGGAAAGACTGAGATATTACAATGAAGACAGAATCAGGGTGTTTGAGAAGATGTGGGACCCTGTGCTAAAATTTCTACAGCRAAAGACTGGAAATGACAGACCTGCCATTGCTTAGTAGTATGTATAAATATTTTTTTCTTTGTATTCAAATGGAAAGATGTGAATCATTTTRTGGTGTATTTATTTTACTTGTCTTGACTGTGTGGCTGTTATATGAAATGCCAAATTTGTGCTGGTAAGAGTTGGGTGGGAATTGACTTTATATGTTCTTATTGCCAAAATGTTAATAAAAATAAATTGAAAAAAAAAAGTCTTAARTTTGACTTGCTAAAACCTGCAGATAACATCTCAACATTTATAAAATTGACTTGGTTAGAGACATTTTTGTTTTGGCTAAAGAGTGATTATTGTTGGGCAGGTTATAAACAAACATTGTAAGTCAGATATAAAGATAGTTTTGTTTTGTTGTAGTAGTTCTCTGTGCAGAAAGTCCTCACCGTGTCTTTCAGTCAGCTCTAGATGGCAGCACTCAGACACTGTGTGGAGCTCAGTGACTTCAGAGCCAAACTTCAGAGTTCTGTTGGCAGCTTAAAGGGAAGCTTATTATCAGTCATACTTTTGTTGAGAGTTTAATAGCAACGGCAGAGCTTCTGGGTTTTGTTTACCGGCCTTTTCATGTCAGCTTTCTTTCTTTTTTTGTGTTTAATTTCAGGAGTTGCAAGCCAAACAGGCAGCCCAGAAACTGTCGGAGGGACTGAAGGTCTCTATGGGGAGCTACGCTCCTGACGGTGGCCCCATGGCTGCCTACAGAGAGGTTCACGATGAAGGAGCCCACCTCTCCTCTGAGGAGGACTGATCCTGCAGGGCCCAGCTGGGGAAACCGGTGGAACTTTGGCTGCAACGGAGTAAAAAACGTTTGGACCTCGTGGTCAGGATCCGTCAAACAGTATTTTTAATTCCAAGAACTCTTAAAGAGAGGGAAAGGAGTCTGTATGAATAGTTAGAGTCCCAGGCTCAGGTCGAGTGGAGAAACCAGCTAACTGTCATTCAGTCCGTACCAGGTTCAGCTGGGTTCAGTAGAATAACGTCTTTTGTTGACCGAGAGTCTTAAATGCAGAAGCTGTAGGTGCATCATGAAGGAAAAGAGTTTCTGTCAGTCTGTCCCTCTGAGCCTCAGGGTCGTGTCGACTAAAGCTTCAGCTGAAGTGAGTTAATGACATGATGTCATCATCAGGTGGATGTGACTGTTCTGGCACACTGTGACCTCAGAACTAAATAAAAAAAATCAGATTTTTCAAGTTTGTGTTTTTATTTTTGGTGTCCAAACGTGACACTGCAGGAAACTGATGCTTTTCCAGCATGACTTTWTTGTATAGTTCTGACTTTTCAGGTGATTTCCTGTAGAGCGATGCATATTTTATCTTGGGAATCCAGAGGTGTCAAATAATATCGTACAAATACTTTGTTACTTTACTCAAGTATAAATTTTGCTTATTTATACTTTACTGAAGTAAATATTTTTCAGACAACTTTTTACTTTGACTCCTTACATCACAGTCCAGGCAGTATGAAGTTGATCATTGCTGCAATAGGCAGATTAGTTCATCCCAACATTAACGTTGYAATATAAACATGCCTAAGCTTTTGAGCTCAATGGCTTTTTTTTTCTTGACAGTACTTTTATACTTTTACTTGAGTAAAAAGCTTGAATTGATACTCCTAAATGTAAAGAAGAATGTTTAAACCATAGTATCTATACTTSTACTTGAATAATGAATGTGAATTTGGATACATCTGTGGGAATCCTACAGGGGGAGTCAAGCTAACAGCTTCTCAGAACGAGAACCATTTCTGAGCGAATTTCCTCTGTTTAGTCTGTCCATCCACCTTGGACAGCTCACCGGTTCATCTCAGACAGTCCTCAAGTTTTTAATAAATCTTAAAACAAGGTTTATGTTACAGATGTTTACACCACATCATACTTTAYATCACAAATCTTTGTTTTGACCAAATTTAACACATTCTGTTTTACAACAGAACTCAGTCTGCAGTGTGGAAAAAAAATACTAGCATCACTCAAATTTGGGCAGTTAGAGTGTTTTACATGTTGGAAATTTACTTTAAATAGATYTGAGAATTTGTACTGAGTCTCCAAACTCTGATCCGACTAACTTTTGTCTAATAAAACAACCCCAGTACAAATTACTTCAAATATTATCTGTTTATTTAAGTGCAAAGCTTATGTTGTTTGTTCCCAGTTTTTAAAAAATCAATAATTTAAAACAATAATTGTGTCAGGCCTAAACCTTTATAATATTTAGTCTTTGATCCTTTTCACAGTTTATTGGTTCTGATCAACCTTCAAGTATTTGAGTTGATTGTAAACATTTCAYAATAAATGATAAAAATAAAGGAGCAAGCACAACAAAACTCCATCTCACATTAATAATGTCGTTTTGACACCTTGACAAACCTGTGGTGCTATTTTAACTATATATTTTTWAAGTTTCCAAGACTTAAAGAGTTTAATGCAGAGGAGGTATGTGTGCCTGACGGCTACATGATGAATTAAATGTTTCTGCTAATCTACAGCTCTTCAGGTCACGCTGATCGGAGCTCACAAGCTGCATTTTCTCARCCAGTGCGTCGTTTTGTTATTAAATTAAAATTGTGGTGAAGTTTGATTAATTGAAAAGTCGTCCCTGAGCAGGCAGGAAAGGGGGAGTGTGTATTAAACATGCGTTAAACTGCACATAAAATTTAAAGTTTGAGTCAAACAATCTGTCAACATTTAAACATTAATTTGAACAATATAAAAGGGCTGATATGTGCATTGTAAGCTGAAATTTAATTTTATTGCACATTATGTCTTGTTAAAACAAAGTCATGCCAAAAAAAATACAAATTTTATGCACAACAAACCAGTACACTTGACTTATGTGAGTTTTGCTTCGTGTCAAGATAAATAAAAAAATGACTCCACAATCCGCATCATCTGCTGTTTTTAGAGCTTCCAAGAAAAAAAAAGACTCAAGCTCTCTCGATGTAAATTATTAAAATATAACTATCTTATTAGTTTTAATATAATTTATTTTGTTGTTTGGCTCACAGCTCATAAGAGCTAMATAAATCTGAAAGATGCGTTCAATGAATTCCCAGTAAAGTCGTGTTCAGCTGCAGGAAGTAAATTTCTGAAACCCTGCAAGATGTTATCAGACAGGAATCCATCACACGCTTGATAAGATTAATGCAGGGCAGTGAGTATTAAGGCTCGACGGCTGAGACATCTGGACCGCATTTGGGTTGTGTTCTCGCTGGGAATGGCAGGCGATGATGGGCCCGGCAGCAAACCTAATGCAATATGGCCAACACCATTTCTCAGCTCTGCTAATACGAGGGCGATAAGAAGGGCCCGTTTGGTTCCTGCATCTCTAAAGAAAAATCTGCACCACTCTTCTTATCATCTGTCTTCCAACTGTCAGAGGCGATTGCCAGCCAAACCAGCTAAAACAGCCTGAATCGAGGCTCGTAATGAGGAGGAAATCAGGCGCTGAGGCACCTTTTCAGGGAGGAAATGAGGGTGGGTTCATGTAGGTCACAGCTTGGCGATAGATGCCCCTTGATAACCTTCAGTAATTGTTGCTGAAGTATTGGCGGAAGATGTTTTAAAGAAAAKGGGGGAGGGGGAGAAACATTGATTGCTGTGTATTTAAACTCTGTATCTGATGGGCCCCAGAGTGGCCCCCACAGTGACGTCTAATAACAAATACATACATGCTCCTCAGAGGATCCTCATTGTGTGGGTTTAATTATAGCCTATACCTTTCTCACATACGTCTACAGACTGTTCTCAATTATGGGGCACATTTTTGTTCTTCTCACTCTGGTGTCTGGCATCAAACTGGATCCTGAAGGTTTTATTGAAGTGGAACCAAAACATTTTCTTTTTTTTTTATTTACTCGAGGTTTTTTGACGTCGTCCATTGATGAGAAGGTTGTTTATGCTTCAGCTTGAGTCCCCTCCGCTCAGATTATTAGGCTCCTCGCAATTATGGGGCACATTTTTGTTCTTCTCACTCTGGTGTCTGGCATCAAACTGGATCCTGAAGGTTTTATTGAAGTGGAACCAAAACATTTTCTTTTTTTTTTATTTACTCGAGGTTTTTTGACGTCGTCCATTGATGAGAAGGTTGTTTATGCTTCAGCTTGAGTCCCCTCCGCTCAGATTATTAGGCTCCTCGCGAAGTTAGTCTGCAAGTGATTTGCTCCGACTCCGAGTCCGAAATCACACGTCCTGCGGGAGTAGAAATAATTTGCTGTTTGGGAGGGGAAAGTGGAATGTGATTTTAAAACGGCGTCTTCAAAGAGCAGTCAGCTCGGCCTTAAATTAGATATACAGTATGAAGTATAGACTGGCGTTTAAGGCGAGCTGGGCCCTCAGCAGAATGATTTGATTATGTCTGCCAGGTTACGAAGGCTGAGGTCATGCTTTTTCCATTCTCTGATGTTTGTGTCATATTTTTTTTTCAGGGCACATGAGGAGATTAAATAATGCAGCTCACAGCAACGCGCCGCAGATATGATTACAGCCTATCTGCACATCCCAAAACAAACCAACTCTCCCTCATGTCAAGAGTTTATTTTAGCCGCACCAGTGACTCGGCTGCAGGGATGGGATGTGTTGGATTGGAAACAAAACATTTTAAGTATTTAAAAATAATTATTGCCAGACACTAAAAGTGATAATGTTTTTTCAGATATGAATGAAACTCAGAAAGCAATCATAACTCATGCGGTATAAACTCTATAAGTTATCTTTTGGAGCTCAATCCAATTCAGTTTATGTATAAAGCGCCAAGTCACAACATACGTTGTCTCAGGGCACTGTACATGAAAAAAGAACAATGTAAAGAAGAAACTAGCAGATTGTGTTGAATCACTTCACAGTCTCCCATCCTGAGCAAAGGGTGGAGAGGAAAAACTCCCTGCTAATCAGGAAGAAACCTCCAGCAGAACCAGGCTCAGGACAGGAGGCCATCTGCCTCGACCGGCTGGTTGGGGGACAGGAAAGAGACACAGAAAAACACAGAAGAACTGGTCCAGGTGCACCTTCTTCTGGAAGAGAGACAAAAAGAAAAAAACATGTTATTGATAGAAATAATTACAATAAACATGTAGAGAAGAGAGACTAAATACAACAGCAGAGTGAGGAAATGTGCTCAGTTTGGGCTCCAGCAGTCTAAGTCTATAGCAGCAAAAATGAAGAATAATTCAGGAAACCTAAGTCTAACTATAGGATTTATCAAAAAGGAAAGCCTTTAGTCTAATCTTAAAAGTAGACAGAGTGTCAGCTTCACGGACAGAAACTGGAAGTTGGTTCCACAAGAGAGGAGCTTGATAACTGAAAGCTCTGCCTCCCATTCTACTTTTAGAAACTCGAGGAACCACAAGTAAACCTGCAGTCTGAGAGCGAAGTGCTCTGTTAGGAAAGTATGGAACAATAAGATGTTTAATATATGATGGAGCTTGGTTGTTAAGAGCCTTTTATGTTAGGAGTAATATTTTAAATTCTGTTCTAAATTTGACAGGGAGCCAGTGGAGAGAAGCTAAAACTGGAGAAATATGATCTCTCCTTCCAACTCTCATTAAAACTCTAGCAGCAGCATTTTAGATTAATTGAAGACTTCTTAAAGAGTTTTTTGGATGCCCAGATAATAAAGAATTACAGTAATCCAGCCTAGACATGATAAATGCATGAATCAGTTGTTCCGCATCATTTTAGGACAAAAAGTTTCTAATTTTAGTGACATTACGCAGGTGGAAGAAGGCGGTCCTGGTAACGTTTTTAATGTGGGGGTTAAAACACACGTCCTGATCAAAAATATCACCAAGGTTCATTACATTAGAACTGGAGGCCAGATTAATGGCATCCAGAGGAGGTGAAATGCTACAAAGTTAGCCCTGTTCAAGATGGCCGCCCCAGAATGTAAACCCAAAAATGATAATAACTCTGCCAGTTTTACAGATATTGAGAAGAAATTTGGTGTGAGCACTATCAYCAACACATACTTTGACCACTGCTCATTGCACAATATGATTGCTGTCTGTTAGCAAAATATCTCATGAATCACAAGGCATTACAAACTTTAACCAAACCAACTGAAACTCTGTCCCTTCTCAGTTCAAGATGATTTTAGTTCTAATTTCTGTCATGAAAGGTGACAATTGTAGTATGCATTCCTTAAAGGAATTCTAGGCCTTTAACTGACTTTGCAAACGAAGCTTTTGGTCACTAATA